GAGCAGACAGGGTTGAGAAGATCGCGCTAGGAAGACTCACGAAGAATCTCTGCTTCTTGGAACGGGATAACCACATTCCTCCACCCCCACCCTTACTGCTCAGAGATCGGCATAGAGCAGGCTGGCTTTCTGGTTTAAGTGAATTAATTCGCTAAAGACTGCAGCTGCTCTTCTGAAGTCAGATTATATTTTAAAAGGTCTATAGACATTGAAATTTCTCTACAGGAAGTTAAACTCACGCTAAAAAAAAAAAGAGTTAAGGAATGCATCCAGAATTCCAATTTAATCCCCAAGTTAAAACCGCTCACTGCACTCCCAAATAGCACACGCAAATAGTACAAATAAATGTCTGCGTATAGGCGTCCTCTAGGCGTTTTTGTTTGAAAAAATATCGAGTTGATTTTAATTCGACAAAATAGCCTTTCTGACTTGTGTGTTCTAATGGCAGAACAGCACTGGTTTTCGTGATGAAAGCTATATTTACACTGTTATCTTAAAATTTTCTGGAGGGGGCAGATACACATAGATAGATGTGGAAGGTCCTCTCCCTGAGAAATCGAAACTCCCTTCTTCAGCGAGGGCCTGTAATTTACAAAGAACTACACGGATTACTGAACTTGGACTGATTTTCTCCGAGGGAAGGGAAGTGGTGGGTTATTTAGAAAACTCAATTCCAAATACAATCTAGGAAAATCTGGCATTTATACAAACACATACAAAACAAGCTAAACTGCTCAAAATGCCATTTTAAAATCTTTTTACAATATTACCAAAACAAGGGAAAAAATCCTCTCAAGAAACTAGATCAGTTTAATGCTTTCTGGGACTGACCTACCTAGTTGACATTTCTTTAAAAGTCGAAAATGTATTAACTCTTCTCACAAAACACTATTGTCTCTAGCTTGCTCAAAAATTTTGGATAACTCTCTAACATCCCTCAACTAAAGACCAAACCAAAACACACACACATACACACCACCACCAGCAGTAACAACAAAATAAAAACTATTTAGTGCTGCCGATAAAGAGGAAACGTTTTTCTTTCTTCTTTTTTTGTAAAACGTCATTGAAAATGAAATTTCTGGGAGAGCAGTGAAAAATGAAAATATTTGATGAAAAAAATTCACCTGAAATGTTATCGTATAGTTTTGGCTAGCTGAGTTCATCACAGGATGGTTTTTCATGCTTTAAAGAAAATCACTTCTGACTGTGGTGCTATATTTAGATTAGAAAGCCACGATAAATTTCAACATTTTTGTGGCATAGGTTACATAATTAAATGGCTATTTGAATACTTGGAAGGTAACAACATTAGCAGTGGCGTATACAACTAAAATGATCGATTATCTGCCTATATTTATATGTATATTAAGCAATTTTTGTGCAGAGAATAATAACTTATGGGAACACTTTACAGTTTTCAAAGAATCATCACACTTTGATCTTTATTGTAATGATTAGCACATGGCTTTTCTCCAAAAAAAGTGGTATATTTTTATTTATCACTTATGCATCTATATAGCACTTCCCCCTCATAGAATTTGCCATCATTTTACTATGCTCTTTAATGATAGACGGGAGGAGGGGGACTTGCATAAATGTATAACGTGACAAAATCGTCCGGGGGCAGATACACTCAATTAATATAAAATCAAACGCTTCCATGGATGCAACGATATTTACTTTATCTGACAGTAATTGGCTAAACTGTCTAAGAAACGAAAACCTATTATTAGTCGAGCACAGCTCCAGAATTTCAAAGATCCTCATTTCAGACCAGAGAATGCAAATGCCCCAGAACGGGACCGTAACCGGATACGCGATGGACCCAGATTCCACGTTCATCAAAGCGACTCCCAAGAACCGACCGCTGCTGTAGTGTAACTACCGCTCTGGCGTTTTCCTCCCGGACAGCGGCGCGCAGCTGGTGGCGCACACCCTCCCGGGTCGTCGGGGCTGCGGGCTGTGGGCGAGGGAAAAACAGGCCGCCTAGATGGGATTGGCCTGGCAGGGATCCCTGCTGGGAAGCTCCGCTTCGGGAGAACCAGACTGACCAAAGAGAGCCTTGAACAACAGGGAGAGGGCAGCCAGAGACGACGACCTGAACGCCTGCTCAGGGCATAAGACCAAGATGAGCTCTAGGTAGCGGGTAGAAGTCTCTCGGCCGCCAAATCAGCCCTGCGCAGGGCTGCGGATGAGAAGAGAAAAGGGGGATGCGGCACAGAAACCGCCCGCTAGGCCCCTTCGCCTGGACTCCTCACGCTCCGGATCCTCAGGGGCCTCCAGCCTGGCGGGCCTGAACTGCGTCCCAGGACGGCCTGCCGAGGAGCAACCTGGTCAGGGGCCGCCGGAGAGAACCACTCGGGCCTGGCCCCAGAGTACCTAGCGGGGCAGTGGTGGCAGCGGATTTGGGCGAGAGCGGACCGCGTAGGCCTACGAGTGGGGAGGAGACAGCCTTCTGCGTGCTCAGGGAGGAGGCAACTCGGTGGACTCCTGGTTGCAGCAGCGGGTGTGTGGGCGTGTCTGGGTGTTCCCGGCACCCCGGGGCTACGGGTTCTAAGATGGGGGTTCTTGGGGATGGGCTTTGGGAAGGTCTAGGAGCAGAGCGCCGCGGAGAAGCAAGGGAAGGCAGCAAGGCGACAAGGAGATGCAGGCTTCGGTTGGAAACTGGGGAGAGTTTCGGTAGCTTTTTTCTTTTTCTGTTCTTTTCTTTTCTTTTTGGAATCTTGAAATTACTCAAGAAAATCACCCAAAGAGGTGAAATAAATTGGAGACCAGAGAGGAGCAGAAACATTCCCCGCGCCTGTCTAGCCCTGGGGATGGGGGTGGAGGAGTGGGACTGGAGGCTTCCTTCTTTTATGCTCGCCTGGTACCGCGACGCACACACTCAAGGACTCCCGCCCCGCAGTGCCGCGCACTCACCCCCACCTCTCTCTGGATCTTCGCGCCCGAGCGCTCGCGATCCGCGGCAAAAGCAGGCGCGTTCTTCTCTCTGCAGCCCCGTGGCCTGGTTTGGAGACGCCGGCCCCGCCTGGGGCGTCAATAGTCACTGAATTCAAAGCTGAAAGTCACCGGGCACACCTGCGGCTGAGGGATGGTCGTCCCAGCGCTAGGCTCTGCCCACAGAGGGTCTCCACCACCGCCGCGGGCCGCCTGCCACCCTAAGTACTCCCTGGCGCACGTGGCCCGCGCCGCATCCCAGCTCCCCGGGCGGCCCCAGAGGCTGACTCCCCGCACCATTTCCGCTCGCTCCGGAACAGCCCCGCCTCTCCCCCCTCCCGACTGGCTGTTCTTTCTCTCCTCGGCCTTGGGCACCCACTCCTCCCGCCGGTGCGGGGCCCCGCATGGTAGCTCTCCATTCTCACCCCCACTCCCATCTCAAGTCTGCGCCTCCCCGGGGCGTTGTCCACAGTCCCTGCGCCTTCCACCCGCCCCTTCCAGCTGAGGCCGGTCCCCGCCCCCCCCAGCTCCACCATCGTGGCTGCCAAAAAATGCTTGGGGGCGGCTAGGGCCGGACGAGGGGCGCCACATTTGGGCCGGAACCGGTTCCTATTTTTTCAAAGCCAGCGCCGCGTGGAGGTCTTTCTGTGGGCCTCACAGTAGGGCCCGCTGCTCCTCACTGGGCTAGGCGTGGTGGCAGGCGAATATCTATTGGGCGGGAAGATGATCCCCACCAGCGCGGAGTTTCCAGAATCTCAGGGGACCCTGTAGATTCGCCCAGAAAACAACCAGAGCCGCACGAGGGCGCCAGAAGGTATGTGGGCTGGAGAAATTAGAAAGAAGGCCTCCGGGGATCAAGGCCTAGATCCAGGCGCCCAATTTCAACAGACGGAAAAGACGGCCGCCACGGCAGGGTAACCTCCCTTGTGAGGACAGATCCTGCTCTCAAGACCTTATGAAGCTACCCAGCGTGTGCGGCATTCCAGCCACGTCATCACCAATGCAGTCAAACACTGTTTGGCCTCTGATTCAGAATAGCGGTAACTGACATGTATTGAGCACTAACATGAGCAGGGCCCTGCACTAAGCTCCTGGCATGATTTGCCTCATTTATCCCTGGCAACAACCTTGAAAAGGGTATTACTGTCTCCTTTTTGTATACAAAGAAACCGAGGCTTAGAAACGCCCAAGGCCACACACTGACTAGGCCAGGATTCGAACCAAGAACTGTCAGACAACAAAGTTCAGTAATAACTCCTTTGTCCTGTCTCTCACATACCTGCTTACCGCGGCCGCTGCAAGGGCTACAAGGGCAAACGCAACCAGGACCTTGCCCTCGGGGGTTCATAGTCTACCCGGGGAGACCAGGCAGGCAACACAGCTATAGTACTAGGTGGAAAGTGATAAGTGACACGACTGTCCTTTACTAACACGTGGTGCAAATTCAGACGCGGGAGAGATGACTTCCGGCTAGGCGATCGGGGAGCGCTTCCTTGGAGAAGGTAGTATTGGAGCAGTCTTCGAGAACAGCTTTCGACCCATGGAGACAAGGGCGGGGAAGACGTTCCAAGTTGATGGAACGGCTTGAGCAAAGTCAACGAGGCGGAATCAGACACGTCGCCCATCCATAGGTATATAGAACATTCCGTCTCTTTAGGGATCCAGTGCCGGGTATTTACAGGCCAGGAAGTTTTCCTGCCCCCGCAGCTGCTGGAGAAACCATGCTCCTGGGTCATCCTTCCCAGCAGTTGGTTCGCGGACAGGAAGCCTCCCACCACTGGCCCTGGCCGGGAAGGTGCGGCCAGGCGAGGCGGGAATCGGTCCTTCGGGCACCCGGGGCAGTGCAGCCTCGTCCGCAGCATCTTGGATTTCGCGACTCTATACTAGTCCTTGTCTATTTCTGGTAGCGCCACAGCACCCCACTCAGTGGATGCGGGGGGCGTGGCCCACATGAACCGGAACCAATGGGGAGGGATGCCGAGGCGAGAGCCCCGCCCCCGACGTGACGCACGACCCCCGGACACAGGCTTCGCAGCCCCGGCCCTAGTCCCTGCAGTGGCTGTAACAAAACCCAGACCCCCAGGTCCGGGCCAATGGAGGCGATTTAGACTGGAGCGGGACCGCGTCTGTCAAAAGCCCGACTCGGCAGCAGCGGCGGAGTCCAGAAGCAGAGCTGGAGCTGCCGCGCTGCCTCCCCGCCCCCGCCGGGATTTATTGAGTATTTGGACTGGACAATTAAGTGGCCCTGATGATGTTACCAAGCCCGGTCACCTCCACCCCTTTCTCAGTCAAAGATATTTTGAATCTGGAGCAGCAGCAGCAACAGCACTTCCACGGTGCGCACTTGCAGGCGGACTTGGAGCACCACTTCCACTCGGCGCCCTGCATGCTGGCCGCCGCGGAAGGGACGCAGTTTTCTGACGGAGGGGAGGAGGACGAGGAAGAAGAGGGTGAGAAACTGTCCTATTTGAACTCACTAGCCACAGCCGATGGCCACGGGGATTCGGGGCTCTGTCCCCAGAGCTATGTCCACACGGTTCTGCGAGACTCGTGCAGCGGGCCTAAGGAACATGAAGAGGAGCCCGAGGTCGTGAGGGACCGGAGCCAAAGTGAGTAGAGGGGGAAAGGAAACGCACCCGCACATCTGGAGCGGAGCGCCCGCAAACAGCCCACAAAGCTTGCTAGCACGGCTGCCCACCCTTTAACCTTTGCTTGGGGTCATGCCTCGCCCTGGTCAATGAGAGCTCCGCAAAGCGCAGGTGCCTGAGAGGGAGCCGGGGCGGAGGGAGAAGGACGAGGTGACCCCGACAACTACTCCCCCCCAGAGGGGGGAGGCGGTGCAGCCCCCGAGGGAGGAGAAGGTAGTTATTGCTGCCCTGATGCTGCAACACGGGCTCAGCTGCTGGGTCCTGACAACTCACAGTATTTTTGCTCTTCCCAAGATCCAAAGGGGCAAGAGCCTGAACCTTTTCCACTTTCCCTCTGGCGTGAGACGAGTTCTCTGAGGCCAGGGCAGCTGCTCTCTCTTCTCAGAAAAGTCTGTCCAAGCAGGTTATGTCCCTAGCGTCCGGAGAACGCAGGAACTGTGGTAGAGTCTTAGCTGGATGGTTTCCTCACTTCTCCGCTTGGAGCTCAGAGTCCTGGCATGCACCGCATCCGCAGGGAGGGAGGGATGGTCGCAGAGTGCGTGAGAACACTCCATTCCGCGCTGAGCATAGCATTCACACCCCTGAGGCGCCGGCCTTTTTTGAAAATTCGTAACGTTTTGCTTTGTGTCCCAGGCTGTGGGCTGCCGGCCCAATGAAAAACGCGCGGAACTTAGTCCGAGATCCCGGCCGCTCACATCAGACGGGAGGTGCTGGGTAGGGAAATCGGATAACTGAATAAAGCCTCCAAGGAAGTGTCTGTTTCTGAGAGGACAGGGTCAGAGAACCTCCTTCCCCAAGAGGAGGTTTGATGTGGCGGAAGCCAAGGCCTGTGCTCTGACAGCTCCCCTGGGCCTAAAATCGACATGAAACTCTAAATCAGTCAGTCAATCAAATTTCTTTTTCTTTCTAAGGTCACACAGACTTTTAGTTGTGGGTATGTGGTCTTTTAAAAGCAATAAATAAATAAATAAATAAATAAATAAATAAATAAATAAATAAATAAATAAATAAACAAAATAGTCCCTGGGCAATGCACGAGCGTTACACTCAGATATTTCCCAACAGAAAGATTTTCCCGCAACTCACGCACACCGGCCCCCAAATACCAACACTCCTCACACCTTTAGCTCTCCGCGACGGAGTGGAAGGCAAACGAGTTTGCAAATACTGTCGTTATTATGTAGTTGCAAACTTTCATCCTGAAAATAGTCATTAGTGCTCAGAGCCGCACATTTAATACAGGGTAATCTCTTCTCTTGCAGATGCACAAGTTCTAAATAAACGTGCACTAACTACCCTCCCCACGGAACGTGCCTCCGCCCGCCGAGGGCATTCTGAGGGTACTTGGGCTGCCACAGGGTCCCACGGCTCCAGGAGCCACAAACTTTCCAAAAAGTCCGAGCATTTACTACCGCACGCTCCGCGCTGCCACCAAAAGGGGCCACAGTGTTCCGGGACCGGAGCCGCGGTGAGGTCGCGAACAGCTAAGGGACGCTGTTGTTTTGCTTCTTCCGCAGAAAGCTGCCCGCTGAAGAAGCCTCTGGAGGCGGCCGGAGACTGTAAGGCGGCGGAGGAGAGCGAGAGGCCGAAGCCACGCAGCCGGCGGAAGCCCCGGGTCCTCTTCTCACAAGCCCAGGTCTTCGAGCTGGAACGCAGGTTCAAGCAGCAGCGGTACCTGTCGGCGCCCGAGCGCGAGCACCTCGCCAGCAGCCTGAAGCTCACGTCCACGCAGGTGAAGATCTGGTTCCAGAATCGCAGGTACAAGTGCAAGAGACAACGGCAGGACAAGTCTCTGGAGCTCGGCGCGCACGCGCCCCCGCCACCCCCGCGCCGCGTGGCCGTGCCGGTGCTGGTGCGGGACGGCAAGCCGTGTGTCACGCCAGGCGCGCAACCCTACGGCGCGCCCTACAGCGTGGGCGCGGGCGCCTACTCTTACAACAGCTTCCCCGCCTACGGCTATGGGAACTCAGCCGCCGCGGCCGCCGCCGCC